AAATGGAAGCACACAACAAATGGAAAATTTACATCTAAATCTGCCTATCAAGCTTTAAGACCTCAAGGGGGTAGGGCCTTATCAAATGACCTCATATGGCATCCCAAGCAGGTGCCCAAGATCAGGATTTTCTTGTGGAGACTCTGGAATAAAGGGCTGGCTTTTCTGGAGAGACTAGCAGCCTTTTCATCTGTTTATCCTTCCATTTTCTCCTTCTGTAGAAATGCTAGCATTTCGCAGGACCATGTCCTTCTGGTATGTCCCATAGCTGATTTCATATGGTCTTTCTTTGCTAATTCTTTTGTTATCATCTCCTGCGAAAGCTATGAACATTAAATCAAACATTATGAAGTGGTGGGTTTCAAACTCTGGAAAATCACTGGATAAAGTCTATTCACTCGTTTTACCTGGGGTTCTAACTTGTCATCTTTGGAAGGAATATTGGGATTCAACACTCAATGGCTCGGTGGTGGTGAAAGAGGTTGTTATTAAAAAAAATCATGTTAGAGTGGTGCTGGGGTCAAGATAATATTAAAGGTAATGTATACTCCCAAAGAGCTTGATGGATCGATCAAGATGGATGCAATGGAGATACCGTATCTTTTTTAATGGGATAAGGGTCAAATAGGGTCTCGAACTTGAAAAACAATGTCAAATAAGGCCATATTTAGGATGCTCTATCCGGCCGACGCCATTTGGGGAGGTTCTCTGTGGAATGTTTTGATGAAATTTTTTGAGAATCTTATTCATTGAGTCTAGTTTACTCATATCAAATTTGAACTAAAAATTCAATCGAGAAGGCATTCAAATAAATTCTTGAAGATAACTGCACAGTTAAAAGCGCAGTTAAAAGTGAAAACTCAAAATTTCAAACCATTTCAAATCTGAAATTAAGTCTGCATAACGAAGTTGTAGATATCCATGTGACCATGTGTTGATGTGTATTACTTCTATTTGTCCTCCAAAGCGGAGGTGTTGTACCCTCTATTAGAGCCTTAGAGGTAGGGGTAGACCGATTCCGGGTAGACTGGCCCGTGACCCGGCCCGGCAACCGGATCTAGGCCCGGTCCACTAGGCCCGAACTCGGGGCTGTAAAGACGGGCTCTGGGTCTGCAAAAACAGGGACCGGACCGGACCGGGCCGGGCCTGAACTGGATATTTTTTAAAAAATATTAATTAGTTTGCAAGTTATTTACTTATTTTTGTTCTTTCATGAAAGACAAGTTTTTAAAATATTGTTCACATATTCCGCATATATATGTGATGGAGTATATGACCCGGGAACCCCCGGCCCACAGACTCCTACTACTCTGACACAGGCCCAACAGGCCCAGGAAGCGCAGGAGGCCCAAAACACATCGGCCCAACCATCAAGAAGCCCAAAGTGAACATACGGACGCCTTTCAGCCCCATGGCAGAGGGCTCTGAAATCTTACAGGACAACTGATTTAAGGCATACAAAACTACTGGGAGAAGACGGCGAAAAACAGAAGCCTTCGGCACTATAGCCCTCGGTACAGGGAGGCCCCCGGTACAGACTATAGAGAGCCTTCGGTCCCATCACCCCTCGGCCGAAGGCATCCTCCTTGACAGAATCTCCTCTTCACATGCGATGAATCACCATACCAAGTACGAACATCACATCCAACCATCGCATTTAATGCGGCCACATGCGAATGTCGGTGCCACCCCGATTGAGGTGACCCTCTGCCGTCAGATGTCCGACACGTGTCCCTGCCTAGCATTTATTGCTGGTATAAATAGCAGCCCATTTTCCATTGTAAAGCATCATAAGTTCACATATTGAATACATACTCTCTCTCTTACTTATTGCTCTGACTTTTCTCTAGTTATTCCCCGAAATAACCCCTCGGATAAGCTACCCCCGGTACACTATCCATCAATATGGTATTGCATTTATTCTTGATCCTCGTTTTAGACTTGATGCTTTGGAAAATTGTTTAGTTTACTATTATGCTTCTTTTTTTGGTTCATTTCCTATGTACAACGATAAGCCCATAGACCCTAAACAAGAATACTATGAGGTTAGTAATTTATTTCATCAATTATTTAATGAGTTTCATGCACAATATGGTAGCGCACCCCCTCCCCCCACACAAACATCTTCATCTAAAGGAAATTCATTTTTGAAATTTACATTTGGCAACTTATGAAAAAAAGTAAATCAACTCCCGTTACTGAACAAAGCTTGATTAACGAGCTTTCTATGTATCTAACATTTCCTGTTGAGTATGAAGAAGGGGGTGACTTTGACGTTCTAAAGTGGTGGAAGGAAAAAGAAAGAACGTTCCCGGTTTTATCTAAGATGGTTAAGCAAGTGCTACCAATGTCGGTATCAACAGTTGTCGTGAAACAAGAATTTAGTATGGGCGACAACGTGCTAAGAGATTATAGAAAGAGATTGAGCCCAAACTCTCTTGAGACGATTGTTTGCTTCCATGATTGGTTGAAGGCCCAACGTAGAACTCAAGAAGTGAGTATCACCCCCATCCGCCACTTTTTTTTTACCCAAGAAGGTCAACTACCAAAATCAGTGGGGTAAATGCCGGGGAGCATTTACCAGAATTTTATTAACAAAAAGCGCCAATACAGATGAAGTGGGGGACTATACCAAGACCACTTCAAAAAACTCGGACAAACGCACCCAAAACAGATGCAACAACATGGATTAATCAATAATATATGGAAACGAGATAGAATCTAAATAAATAACGCCTCGAAGAGCACGTGGTAAAATATCTCCTACCCGCCAATTTTTTGGACCCACCCGTCCCATTTCAGCTATCAAAACTGCAGCCTTGTTACATTGGGCTGAAATAGGCCCAACATTGCTAACTAAACCAAAGTGGGCCAATAGATTCGAGCACCGCCCCATTATCTGCGGATAAGGAATCTCAACATTAAGAGGCTTCATCCCAACTGACATTCCCCACTCTAGAGCCTTCCGAAACAAGCTATCAATGTCTTCGTCGCTATCTGAAGGACCACTTAGCGGGAAACCATCAGCAGCAACCGCCGCACGTTAGTGGTCTCGCAGAAGGAAACCAGCCGCAGACCTCCCACTCTGTCCATAAATTGCCCAGCTAAGTTTCAGCTTACCTTCAGAAGGTTTTGTCCATTTCCAAGTTTCTAAGCTTGTCTCGACCAAAATGTTCAGGTAATAAGCCAACCCTCTTCACTCTCAAACTACATTTAAGACTATCATTTGCATAGCACCAGCTTATCATGAAATTAATTATTTGTGTAATAATTTTCAGAGCATCTGGAGCAAAATCTTTCCAAGTAGCATCCGCTTTCCAGATATGCCATACTATAACTCCAGGAACCACTGATATATAGGTAGCATCCAATGTTTTCCCTCTTCCTAAACTCCACCATTTCCGAATTTGCTCTTTAACCAAACTAACCTGTTTATTTTGAAACTGTAGTGAACTGTCAAAAAATTGCCAGATTGAGCTAGCAACCGAGCACTTAAGAAGGATATGGTCTTGGGAGATTACGATTGATTATTATTTATTAGAAAATATATTTCATGTTTTAATTTTTTCTCAATTCTTAATTGTATTTTATATTTCAAAAAAATATACTTTGCCTTTTTATAGCAATTCTTGAATTAATTTGTAAACAACATAAAAAAAGGCTCGGACCCGTCCCGACCCGGTACCTGGCCGGGTAGACCGGCCCGATCCGGACCCGGTAGCTATCCGGGCCGGTTCCGGGACTAAACTCAAAAAAAAGACCACCTGGGCCTGACCGGGCCCGATCCATCCCTAATTAGAGGCCAGGTTGCCCCCCAGATTGTATTTAGGGAGAACACTCTAAAGGCAAAAGAAGAGGCTTTAGATTAGGGAAGGACTCGGTTCGGGCCTCTAACCGGCCGGGCCTCGGTTCAAGGTTTGGGTGGCCCGGAACCGGCCCAGGTAACCCCGGGTCCGATTCAGACCGGGCCGTTTTAATTTTTTTTTTAATATTATATTATATTATTATAATAATTGTTATTAAAAACAAAATTCAAGTGCATTTATTTGAAATAGGAAGTACATTTGAGAATTAAGAAAAAAATAACAATATGAAATACATTTTGAAATAAAAAATCAATCAGAATCTCCGCCTTCGATGGTTGTTTCCTCCATAAAGTGACGGATAGGAGCAATGGTCATTTCTTGAGTTCTTCATTTGGCCTTCAACCAATCATGGAAGCAAACTAGCGTCTAAAGAGAGCTCGAGCTCAACCTCGTTCTATAATCGGTTAGGACATTGCCGACCGCTCTATATATTATTATGACAAATGTAAAACTTAACTAGTTTTTTTTTACTGTAATGAGCAATGTATGAAATATATGTAGATATAATAATTATATATATTATATAATGTGTAAAGAATTATAATATGAATGTGTATAAGTATATATTTATAAATAGATAATTAATATATAAATAGATATAATAATTATATAAATTATATATATATAGAAACAATTTGGAGAAGATGAAGAATGAATATGATTGAATATGAGAGATTTAGAGTAGAGAATTAGAGAGTAGGAAGAGTTGTAGAAGAAGAGGTGTAAAAAATGTAGAGAAAATGGGAGTTTAAATAGATTTATTTTGTATACCCCACCCCCCACCCCCCTAACCCCGAGACCCCTCCTCCTATGCTCCCAACGGCTATAGAGCCGTTTGGGGGCTCTCCCAACGGCTAGAAGGCCTTATAAAATTTAAAAAAAAATTAAAAACAAAATGGACATTGGAGGTCCGAACCGGGCCCCGCCCGGCCGGGCCGGTTCACTAAAATGGAGGCCCGGGCCCGAACCGCTATACCACCGGGCCGGGTGGCCCGAACCGGGTACGAACCAATTGACCGGGCCGGTCCGGGCCCGCACAGTAGCAGGCCGGTCCGGTTCCGGGCCAGTTAGCCCAGCCCGAGTCCACCCCTACTTTAGATTGAATTTGAGATGGGACCATATGAAAGAACCAAGGTAGAATAGAACAAGCATAGATAGAGAACACTACAAGCATGTAAATAGAGAACACTACAAGCAAGTTGCACCACTTATTCACACATGGGTACCACAAATAATGCCATTTCTTATTTCCGCTGCTTCCGCGCCCTGATTTTTTCCATGGTTCTCTGCAAAATCTCAACAGCAGATGGGCAGAGCTCGGAGTCACCATGTGCAAAGACACACGTTTCTGCATTCTTGCAAAACCCCTTCTTAGCAAAATTCTTACAAATCTTTGTTTTGTACTCTACCACGGGTGGGATTTTACCGTCTGCTGAGATAGAAAAAAAGTTTTTCAATAAAGCATCCACTAGATGTGTTGCATCGGAGACACATTTAATCGAACCGGACAAAATGATTTTCTTGAAAGAAGGATCGTCTTCGTTATCTTCAACAACTATCTTGACCCCAGTAAGGTTGCAGATCCACTGAAGTAACTCTCCTTTTTCTCCAAAAATAACTCTGAGTTGGTAAGGACAAATGTATGGGTATGCCTTCATTGTGTAGAGAACGAATTTAGCAGGATGAAGTGGGCTCTTAATATGAGAACTGTAAATAGGTCGGAACACTTGAGCATTGTCCTTGAGTGGAATGTAAAATGGTTCATTATATTCACAATCTCCATGTGCAAAGGAGCACTTTTCACCATTTCGGCATCCATTGGCACTGAAATAGTGTTGACAGGGCAGGGTCTTTTTAGTAGGTTGTATAACCAAACCTGCATTCAAACATTCTCAAAGGAAATTACTTAACAGCAATGCTTGGTGTACACTTTGTTTACACATCTAAAAAAGGAATCAATTTCACTGACAATTGTTTTGTGTGGGCATGCAAACCAATTCAGTAAACAGAGATTAGTTGTCAATGAACAATTTATAGATGATTTTAAAATATGCTACGTATATTTATAGACAATTGATGTACATTATATAAATTCGTTGATAACTAATGTCTATTTGACGGATTACACTGGGTGTATTCAAAAAGTAACAAGTTCCTTTTTTATTTGAAGCTTTTGTACAAGATGTTATCACAGGCCTTCAAGCGAGTGGTAGGGTAGATTGAGCTATAGAAGGCTGGCTATGTTTAGTGTTTGGGGAGAAAACTAGGAAGAATATAGTTAAGCAAATTTTTAACACAATAAGTTGGAATTTTTATTGGAAATTCCACAAACTCCCTTAGACTTTTCTTGCTGAACACTTGCATACTTTTCCCTCTATTCAATGCCTCAATGGCCCTTAATTAGGTCTTTAAGAGTTAGGGAGATAGCAAAGAGAGGCAAGTCGAAAAGATAAATGTAAATAGAAATCATTTATCAGCAATTGAAATATTGCTATTAAATAGCAAACACCTGGTTTGGGCTGCTCGAACATTGAGGATCCCACATCACTGTCCGCTGGAGGCTCAAAAGTAAATCTCTTCCAGGAAAACACTAAACGGAGAGACAAGATAATCATACAGAGAAAACATATATCAGCAATTGACGTATTCGTTATAAATAGCCAATACCTGAAATGGGCTGCGCGATCTTTGAAACCCCCGCCGTACTGTCCGCTGGAGGGTCTGGAATGAGACATGATTAATAATAATTAACATAAAGGGGAAACATGTATCAGCAATTGAAATATTGCTCATAAATAGCCAAAACCTGGTTTGGGCTGATCCACCGTTGAGAATCCTTCGTGATTGTCCATTCGAGGTTCTGAAAAGAATTTATTCACACACAGGAAGACCCTCAATGCAGCGACAAGATAAACAGAGATTACACGTTCCAGCAAATGTTGCTTATGAATAGGGAGTAGCGAAACCCTAGTTTGGGCTGCCCGACCAGGGGCGGGTTTACAGCAATTGGAGGGTCCTTGGGTCGGGTTTAGACTCAATCTGCCTTTTTAAATTGGTACTAGACGAAGTACCGGAGTATATCTAGATTAGAATAATTAAAAACTTATTTCAAATATGTTTTATTAGGAAGGTACATAATTGTATTTTTGTAAGATAAAATAGATTATAAAGTTTATATTTTGTAGCTTTGATTATATTATATTATAGTAGTTGTAAGAAAATAATATTTTGGACCCGTTTGAAGAATTGTAAGTAAAATTAATATAAATGATAAAGTGTAACTTTGTCTTTGTTCTATGTAATATCAATAGTCAAGTATTTGACACTACAAAGATAAAAGTGTATAAAGATAACATATAAAGTGAACAACATATAATTACAATGGAATATAATTATGTTAAATACAACTATTAGCGTGCTCACCGTGTACTCAGGGGCGGATCTAGCTATGGGTCAGGGAGGGCCTAGGCTTATGCTCAAAAAAATTAGTATGTATATATATGTATTTTAATATATTTAGTTTTGTGTAGAAATGATATAAAAATAATGACAGTCAAAAAGTTAACAAAAATGAAAATGGTGAGATGGTGTTAGACCATGTCCATGCAGGTGTGGTATCATGAAGATCTTGGGTTCGATTCCCAATGACAACATTTTTTTCTGAGTTTTGCAATGGAGAGCATTTCTTCAACTCATTGGGTTTGGAGGTGAAAATTAGTTCAATACTAATGACTTTGAGGTGTTTATGTAATAGTTTTTGACAAAAAATCTTATTTTCATAATATTTATTTTTGTCTTAGACATTTATGTTGTAACATATGTTATTTTACACGTGAAAATAAGTTTTATCTTAACCTAACTAATAAAGGACACATATTCTTATTAAATGCTACACCCTCTTGGGACTTTGCTTTCTCCACCTGTACATTGCGCTACTATTGTTATACCTTGATTATTAAGCAGTTAAAGACGTTAACCGATCGCTTACTTGCTTCACGCAGTCTAACTCTGCCGGTTCAAACCAAATGGACTCCTTCGGACTGCTTCTTTTTCCCAATTCCTTTTCTGAAGGTAAACGGCCGTACTCTTCCACCGATCGTTCCAAAAGTTGGAGCATCAATGGGGATTTCATTAAATTCCTATTCAATGATGAAATTTGATCAGTTTCAGATGATTTCCTCCTATGCTTCTATAAATGGGGGTTTCCTTAGGCTTATCATCTTTTCCAAGAGTCCTGATCACTACTTTGGTGAGTTTATATTCTTCCCTCCCGTAGTTGATGTTTATTGATTCGTTTAATTTGTTGCAGTTTTAGAACGTATTCTCTATGTTTGTAGACGACATTTGTCGAACTAACTTCCGTGCGTTTGTTTTGTTTCAATTTATGCTTGTATTGGGTTTGTTTCCTACTTTTCTGTTTTATCTTCTATTTCTGCCTGTGCACAGCACATAGCTTAGAACTTCATATACAAATCATTTTTGACGCATACTAGGTGTTTGAGACTATGCCACTAATTTTCCTTTCAATCAATCAGTACTTGCGGAAATTTATAGTTTGTTTACTCTTGTGACTTTGCCATGACAGCTACATACCAGTAGAACATGCAAAGAAATGGAGGACAAGTATAAAACTCCTATGTGCAATTTGATTATGTTTGGCTTAGTGGTCAACATTCATATATAACAATGCTAACAAAATTCATAAGACCCCTGAGACCAATATAAAAAAAATTGTATTTAGGATTTTAGAGTAACATGTCAGGAGATGGCTCACCTCTAAAGGATTCATTAATTCCAAAGGCTTCTCCCAGCTAGACTGTTTTGTCATCTTTTTTGTGGTCATAAAGCCACTAAACTAGAGTTCTGTCATGCACACACATCTAGAATAAGTGGGTCAGCTACATAGCCCCTCTCTTTTCTACCACTCAACATAGGTTCAGAGAATTCCCTCGTCCTAATATTTTTACATCCTGAAATCATGTCATTTCCGCTCCAGAATTTCAAGTTTGCTCTGTCAAATGTACCCACTGTAATGCAAAAAAATGGTATTGGTTTTCAAGCTAACTGAACCTATTCTTCCTGCATAGTATAAAATTAATTGGAGGCAATAAGCATTCAGATTTTGCTAAATTACATTTTGATTTAGATCCTGACATGCACTGTTCTCCTTTTACTATTAACCTTTTCACAGCAACTTATCATTTTGTCTTTTGTCTTAATGAATGCAGCACTTTTGCTTAGAATTGGAGGGAAGCGACTTGTTTCTTTCAAATCGGCTTTAGAAACGTATCTCTTGAGGTGAACATTTACATTCCCACTTCGCTTTTCTTCATTTGTCTATAGAATATTACTTGCATGAATCTATGTTAATAGAGTCCGTGAACTTTTACTCCATAATTGTCCGTGTATCTATCTATACTCACTTAAAAAGTAAGCCTTGTTATATCATAGATAAAAACGAAACTTCAACTTTTTCTCGACATTTGTCTGTGAATCTACCTGCGTTTTCCCTGCGTTTACTATTATTTATTCCTTTCCTTTTCAAAACCTCTCCATCAGTTGCTATTTAAAGGAAACTAAAAACATACTGCATTTGCTAAAGGATTTTTTTCCTGCATTTTCACTTTTGCTACATTTTCCTCTGAAATCTCCTTACATATTTCATATGTATTAAGACTTGGAGTGTGACTACACATGCCTATGAGTCCTGCATTTTTTATGTGTTTTCACTACACTTTATGCCACGTTATTTCTGCGTTTATACTGCACTTTTGGTGTTTTATTGCTGCGTTTTAAATTTGGAAATCACCTGGTTCAATCTTTGTTTTCTGAAAATGCACTATATAGTACACCAAACGTAACCCACCTAGAAAAAGTTAATTATTTGTTCCTGGGGGGCAGTAAGCAGCCTCATTGCTTTCTAAAAGTTTCAATGCACCTTTTGAGTTATTGACTGAAATCAAGAATCCACATAAAACGCCTACTGCCCTAGGAGTTTCATTGCAGACACAAAAAACTAATATTTTACACTTCACACCATCTTCTAAAAAAAAACAGTTTAATTTAGTATCAAGTTTTAGAAAGGGCAATCTTTAAAGTGGGAAACAAAGGAATGAAAGTTTATGATTCCACCACCGTGAAACAAATCTTTTTTTGCATTTCATTGATTGAAAGATTTCCAAACGTAAATGGGAAAAGTTAACCATACACGGTTCTATGAGCTCTTGATGGCCACAGAATTGATAAAATGCAAGCACCTTAATAACGACCCGGGCAAGAAATCTTGCTTCTTGATAAGCACGTTCAAATGTTTTTCATTCTGATTTGCATTGTCCTTCAGAATCTGGTTCAATAAGCTAGGCATGAATAATAACAAGTTAAATCTAGATGACCCAAAAGACTTCATAAAGTAAACAATCTATGATTCTCAAAAGAAATGCAGCAAAAGATGAACATAATTAGCAGAAACGAGTTTCCTCTGTCAAATGTACCCACTGTAATGCAAAAAAATGGTATTGGTTTTCAAGCTAACTGAATCTATGCTTCCTGCATAGTATAAAATTAATTGGAGGCAATAAGCATTAAGATTTTGCTAAATTACATTTTAATTTAGATCCCGTCATGCACTATTCTTATTTTCCTATTAACCTTTTCACAACAACTTATCATTTTGTCTTTTGTCTTAATGAATGCAGCACTTTTGCTTAGAATTGGAGGGAAGCAACTTGTTTCTTTCAAATCTGCTTTAGAAACGTATCTCTTGAGGTGAACATTTACATTCCCACTTCGCTTTTCTTCATTGGTCTATACAATATTACTTGCATGAATCTATGTTTATAGAGTCCGTGAACTTTTACTCCATAATTGTCTGTGTATCTATCTATACTCACTTAAAAAGTAAGCCTTGTTTTATCATAGATAAAAAAAATGAAACTTCAACTTTTTCTCGACATTTGTCTGTGAATCTACCTGCGTTTTCCCTGTGTTTACTATTATTTATTCCTTTCCTTTTCAAAACCTCTCCGTCAGTTGCTATTTAAAGGAAACTAAAAACATACTGCATTTGCTAAAGGATTTTTTCCCTGCATTTTCACTTTTGCTGCATTTTTCTCTGAAATCTCCTTACATATTTCATATGTATTAAGACTTGGAGTGTGACTACACATGCCTATGAGTCCTGCATTTTTTTATGTGTTTTCACTACACTTTATGCCACATTATTTATGCGTTTATACTGCACTTTTGGTGTTTTATTGCTGCGTTTTAAATTTGGAAATCACCTGGTTGAATCTTTGTTTTATGAAAACGCACTATATAGTACCCCAAGCGTAACCCACCTAGAAAAAGATAATTATTTTTTCCTGGGGGGCAGTAGGCAGCCTCGTTGCTTTTTAAAAGTTTCAGTGCACCTTTTGAGTTATTGACTGAAATCAAGAAGCCAAATAAAACGCCAACTGCCCTAGGAGTTTCATTGCAGACACAAAAAGCTAAGATTTTACACTTCACACCATCTTCTCAAGAAAACAGTTTAATTTAGTATCAAGTTTTAGAAAGGGCAATCTTTAAAGTGGGAAACAAAGGAATGAAAGTTTATGATTCCACCACCGTGAAACAAATCTGTTTTTGCATTTCATTAATTGAAAGATTTCCAAACGTAAATGGGAAAAGTTAACCATACACGGTTCCAAGAGCTCTTGATGGCCACTGAATTGATAAAATGAAAGCACCTTAATAACGACCCGGGCAAGAAATCTTTCTTCTTGACAAGCACACGTTCAACTGTTTTTCATTCTGAATTGCATTGTCCTTCAGAATCTGGTTCAATAAGCTAGGCATGAATAATAACAACTTAAATCTAGATGACTCAGAAGACTTCAAAAAGTGAACAATCTATGATTCTCAAAAGAAATGCAGCAAAAGCTGAACATAATTAGCAGAAACAAGTGAACATAAATGTGGAAGTTTACCGCCAATCTATCTCCTTCTACGATATCAATTTTGAGAATCCAATCAGCTTCTTGCTTCTTTAG